CAATTTTAAGATCATTGTAACTAGACTTAGCTTAATTATGTAAATTAGCTTTAGCCTTATTGAAATAAATAGTTTTTAAAATTTTACTAAAGATTCCTCCGAGTAATTTTTAAATCGCCCCTCTCGTATCCCGTTCCCTATAACGCCTAAGATTGCACGAGGTCCAATCCCAGGTCAAAACTTTAAAAAAGTGCGAACGACTCACAGCTGTACGCTTCCGTGCGTATACCTGTGAGATTGAGTCAACCGTCCTTCCGTACCCTCTCCATCTTCCTCTCTCGCCAATACTCAGGGTTGGACGTAACAATATTATATTGATTCCGCAAAAAACAATCAGTATCAAGCTTGTACAGCCCATATATTTTTATTATTAATTTTCTATGAATTGAGCTATTATATTAACTATTATTAATTGAAAATATAGTTCACCGATAACTGACAGTACCGATAACGGTAGTGTCTTAAACTATTTATACTGGGGGTCGATTGTGTATTTTAAAATGGCGTGAAAACACACAATTAACCTTTAGAGTACATACTTGTATTGTTACATGTTTTCCATCGATGGCACCAATGCAATGAGTGAAATTAGACAATTCTTCAAAATCATTTGCAATTTCGAGCCAGTCTTTTTCTGACAATGCTGGCGGTAAAACTAAAGAATACAAACTGTTCCAATAGTCCAGGAGATGATGACACTAAAATGGTCATGATTTGTTACCGCTTGAAATCGTCATAATTCGTCATTTATTAGGTAAACATGCAGGAAACGCAAGTATGGCAAACCTCCCGCGGTTTTAAAATTGATAGCGTGTGATTGAAGTTGTCAAAAATTTGTTGCTTTTTTTCTAATATGTTACCGGCTGGCATATGTTTCTAGTGATAGTTTACGTCAAAAAAACCAATCGGAAGGTAGGTGCTATACCGTTTCTGTGCATCGAAGGGGCCGTCATATCAAGCTAAAGTTGTAAATATTTTAATAAAAAAAAAAGATTTGTTACCGGCTGTTTTTTTGTACATCGCCTATTTTCACTACGAAACATACAAAAATACACATGCCATACCGTTTGAGTGGACTTAAGGGGTCGCTATGCTCGTCCTAACACGTCGAATTTTAAACTAAACCGTCATGATTTGTTACTGTATGGGTTTCGTTTTTGGATAGTTTTAGTCGGTAACAAATCATGACGTTTTAGTTTAAAATTCGACATGTTAGGACGAACATAGTGATCCCTTAAGTCCACTCAAACGGTATGGCATGTGTATTTTTGTATGTTTCGTAGTGAAAATAGGCGATGTACAAAAAAACAGCCGGTAACAAATCTTTTTTTTTTCACTAAAAAATTTACAACTTTAGCTTGATTTGACGGCCCCTTCGATGCACAGAAACGGTATGGCACCTACCTTCCGATTGGTTTTTTTGACGTAAACTATCACTAGAAACATATGCCAGCCGGTAACATATTAGGAAAAAAGCAACAAATTTTTGACAACTTCAATCACACGCTATCAATTTTAAAACCGCGGGAGGTTTGCCATACTTGCGTTTCCTGCATGTTTACCTAATAAATGACGAATTATGACGATTTCAAGCGGTAACAAATTATGACCATTTTAGTGTCATCATCTCCCGGACTACAAATTTCTTCGCATGTCTCTCGAATAATATGACAAACTGTTGTTATATTACTGGTATGACATTGACACCATTGAATCGCCAGATATTGGTATGACATTGACACCATTGAATCGCCAGAAGCAAGATACCTAGAACATTGCAGAGATATATAATATTTAAGTAATATCAAAGTAGTAAACAACAGCTTTGTATATAAAATTTGCAGTAATTTAAACGTTTACAAACCTCAATGTTATTGCCAAACGTTCTTTCGGTTGTATGGGCTATCGAATAACAGTTTCTTTTATCAATAGTGGACCAACAATCAACAATAATTCTTCCATTTGTGTAGCGGACATTCGGAAATAATTGTGGAATCGTACTCCATCCTCTATGGCCAATTTAGGAATTGACACATGATAAAAACTGTGCTCCGGACGATCCTTTAGATATGGTGCTACCCAGTATTGCTTTTTCTTGTACGATCTCTTCTCATTTTCTTGCAACTTTCGCATAATTGCACACACTACCAGTATTCGTCGTTTCCTAATCTCTTTAGCTACTATCGACGGCAACTTATTTCGCAATGTTTTTGATAACATATTGTTTGAGTAGTTTAAATTTATTTTGACACGCATTCTTAACCTTTTATTTAAAGTTTTACACACGAAATCTGTATGAAAAATGATTTAAAAAATATAGAATACAGAGTTGGGTAATGCTAAGTTAAAAAGATAAAAGTTAAGTTAAAAAGTTAATTAATTTTAACTTAACTTAGTTATATTATAGACTCTTAACTTTTTAACTTAATTTAGTTACATTTTATCGGTAACTATTATTAACTTTTATTTTGATTTTTTTTAAGTTAATCCTCAGACACAATACGAGAGGATAATGAGTATATAATTTAGTAATTTTATATTATATAATCACTTGAATAAAAATAACCAGATTCTTTAATAAATATGCCATGAGAAAGGAAAAATACGGAAAATTATGTAAAATGATCAAACTATTTCTTTTTTTTTCGGTTGTTCGGACCAAATTTAACATTTAACTTTGCAATTACTTTTTTTTATCAACTTAACTTTTGATTCAATTAATTTCATTATGGATTAACTTGTATTTTAACTAAGTTAGATTTTCACGGCTGTTAACTTTAACTTAATTAAGTTAAAGAAAATTTTACTTACTCAACCCTGATAGAATATCAATCCAGCGGCTAGCTTCGTCTCCTTTTAGGTTAATGGCTCCTGCCCCTTGAATCTAGCGGCTAACGATTTGAGGCTCCATGAAAATTCTTCTTCTTTTTCTTTGTTTAATGGCTCCCGCCTCCAGACAGTA